ATAAGATACTCCAATACCCCAAAACCCCATTCCAATCATTAAGGCCACTACATTATACTCAAAGCTCTCCAAGCTCTTGTTTGGATGCTTTTAATGCTCTTCTTAGGTTTAAGGGTTTTGGGGGGTCTGGAGTTTGGGGGTTTAGGGGATATGTCCCATGAAGGAAGACAGGGCCACCTTTAAGTCCTCGGCACGACATTGGCGGGAATCTTGTATTTATCCCTAAACGAGCACTGAGTCTGAATGACCGGTTTGATGGCGCTAGCATCCCGGACGAAGGCCTCCTTCAACAAAATTTGTCAACGCTGCGCTCGCTTGGCTCTTCTCGCAAACGGACAACACCCCCTGGGGCATTGTCCTAAACTCGAAACACCCAACCCCTCAACCCCGAAGACGAGACCGCTCCCTTGGATCCTTGCAAGAGAGGCACCGTGGTAGAGCAGCCATTCGCTCATGTCAGGCATGCCGTGAAAGTTGGCCTGGGCCGACTGATATCTAGTGGCTGTTGATTGATCGGTTGGTTGGTTGGCTGGTTCAAGGAAAAACCTACACCTCCAAACTCGGCAGGGGCTTCAAGCTCTACTGTTGAGGGGTGAGGATTTCTAAGTGCAGCTTTGTGTTTGGGCTTCGGGGGTTTAGGGCTAGGGCTTGGGGGGGGGGGGGGTGCAGTTTGGGGACCTTCTGAATATTAGGGGAACCCTCTGGTGGTTCTTGTCCTGAATGGCCTTTGCTATCTTGTACTATGTTGGGTCTATGTTATGGAGGTCCTGAGTTTTCCGACACACCAATGTAGGGTTAGCCGCGACACTGTGACACTGATTCATGGTGCTTGCCTGTTGTTTGAGACGGGTACGCTTGTCCATGGGACTTAGTAACTAAGGTTATTGTTAGGATAGCTATACTTAGTATAATCATTTTTAACCCCAATTAAGGTACTTATAACCATACCTACTAAGTCCCATGATCCTCCAAGAGGGGTCCCAGTCAACTAGTCGGACATGAGGCTGCAGCGTCTGAGTGGCACTCCGTGGCCAATGCAGCGACATGCTAAGCACTAAACCCTAGACTCTAAATCCCTAAACCCCCCAGGTACCTACTATATAGGGCCCTAGGGGCTCTAGTACCCTATATGGTAGGTACCTAAACTCTAAATCCCCATACCTACTTCAATAGTTATCAGGTACCTTGGAAAAGACGAATTGCAACACCAAAGCGTCAAAGGCTCAGTAGGAGTTCACATAAGGCTCAGGGGCATGGGGTCCCTGTAAGATCCCCAAGCCCCTAAACTCTAAACCCTAACCTTAATACTCAAGATCCTAACCCTAAACCCCTAAACTAAACCCCTAAGCCCTTAACCCTAAACCTCCTAAACCCTAAGCCCACGATTAGTGGAAAAATCAAATCTCCGGGCGCAGGGCGCAGTGTTGGACGGTCACGCCATCACTGGCAGAGGGCGCGGGAACTTGGCTTCGAGCTGAGGCTCTCGGCTTGGGGAGTGGGGGTTTCGGCTTAGGCTTCAGGGCTTAGGGTTCATGGGGATTCGGTTTGGGGTTTTGGGTTGGGGTTTTGGGTTTATTGGGTTTCGGGCTTGGCCTAAAGGTCCATGTGCTCAAATAGTATATACTTTGGAGCAAAGTACTTATATAGGGACTACTTTAAGGCCAAAGTATATACTATTTGGGTACATGGACCCTTAGGGCTTGGGGCAAACCCCAAAACCCCAGACCGGTTCTACCTCCCGTAGAAAGAGTTTAGGGAAGACCCGGGTTCTCCCAGGCTGTCCACTATGACGGAGGAATCATACGTTTGATGATATACATCCTGCATGATAATAATAAGGAATGTACCATAATTTCCGTAGTTTAGGGTCCTTAAGGTAGTGCAGGGTTTATATCATCAGCCGCAATTAATGCTAGCTACACAGGACCTTCTGCAAAGCCGAAATCCGGAAGCCATAGAGTTCTGATGTAGGGCTTCAGACCTGGCGACAGTATCCACTTACACGCCCTATAATATCATACTATGATATGCTCCTAAACCCCAGTATCCTCCACAACCCTTGCCTATTTATTCCGGCCCTGTATACTCTAGATCTATTCTATAATACTGTAGTATACCCCGAAACTCTATCCTATGTATTACAGCTCATATACTCTAAGGGTCCAAGTACCCACTAGTCATAGACTCTCCGAAATACCAACCTGCAAAACCACTGTCCCAAACACAAGTACCGCATGATTGGGTCCTTTGGACCCTTAGGGCTACAATCTCAAATCAGGATCCCTTAAGCCCTAAATCCCTAAGCCCTAAGCCCTAAAACCCTAAACCCTAAACCCTCGGCCCTCAAGCTCTAAACCCTAAAACCTAAAACCCTAAACCCTAGGCCCTAAAACCCTAAACCCTAAAACCCAACTAAGTTTACAGAAAACTGCCGGATGTCCAATATACCCTGGCCCCACAGGGTCCTGAGTACCTATCTAAGTACCTATATGGGGGATACTTACCCAAGCCATGATACTAATTCCTACTAGAGAAACCCCACATTCGACTCTACAGGTATTTAACACCTTTTCCCTGGGGCCCCAAATAGCCCAAAGTAGGTACTATGCATAGACTTTAGACCCCAAAGTAGGTGCTATTTGTATAATTGGAGCCCTGGGGCAAGCATACAAGCCGAATTTCCTGCAACCCCATTCGCATGTTCGTGGCTCGAAGTGGGCAAGTACCTGTTTGTTGCACTTCGATAAACCTTTTGTGTGGAGCACCCCTCACCTTAAAACCTAAAACGAAGGTTTAGGGTTTAGGGTCTAGGGCTAAGCGTTTAGGGTTTAGGGTCCATCCCTCAAGACATGAAGCGTCCCGACATGGCAGGCCTGTCGAGCAAGTTGGTCTGAGCGCCCCTCTTCACGAGAAGCTCCACAATCTGGTTGAGGGTTTAGGCTTTAGTTTGCAGTTGAAGTAATACTCTAGCATATATCATGTTAATATTATCATATAGTATTGTCGATATTTTGTAGGATAGTATACTGTAACATCATATTATAGTATAGTATGCTTTACTATAGAATATCACATTACATTAGTTTTCTTATATTCTGTGTTATATTAGATTGTATAACATAGTGTTATAAAATACTATATTATACTTGGTAAGTGTGAAAAGTCCCAGGTTCACGGCTTGACTTGCCTGATCACGGTTGACTGCCTGGGCCTAGGGATATCAGAGAAAAAACGCATTCAAATGACAAGCTTCATCGAACTTGCTCTGGCATGCCCAGGGCAACAAGCCTAGGCAACGCTGATTAGTGATGCTCATGAGGATATATGCGGAGAACTTTTTTTGTTTGGGGGGACGTGCAAGTAGTGGTGCCCCTACTAGTACTATGGAAAGTTGTGATACCGCAAGTAGGAACAAAAAGGGAACGTGATTCATTAAACCCCGCCAGGCCTCAACCTTTGAGCTTTGGACCTTAAGCTGTACACCCCGTACCAGTACCATAGTACCAAAGGCACAGGCCTGTTAGGCAAATTTCGATTTATGAACCTCCGATTCAAACATTGTAACATTCACCATGAAGCCCTAACCTTAAACCACAAGCCAAAAACCCTACACACATACAGAGTTTTCATTGCTGTAGCGCAGCATCACAGCGTACCCTAAATTTTGAAATTTAAGCTCGGGACTCTAAACCTTAAAGCCCCTAAACCCTAAACCCTGTAAGACCAGAAGCCGTAGTACTTTGGGTTTCCTTGCTCAGAGTCCGTTTGCTCTGGCTGCCGTTTCAAGTGACGGGGTGACTCTCAAGTACAGCAAGAATCGCAAACGAACCCTTAGGGACGCCATCAGACGGTTTAGGGTTTAGGGTCTAGGGTTTAGGGGTTTAGGGGTTTAGGGGTTAGAGTTTAGGGTTTAGGGTTACCTAAAGCCAAAGCCCGTAGCCAAACTGCGAGCTTAAACCATTACGCCCACCGCCGGTCACCCTCACGTATGATCTACCCCAACACTATACTTCAAGGCTCCGAATTATATGTTTGAACTCTTATCGCTTAACATGGTAACCCTACTCAAAACACTGCCCTCGCAAACCCCATAAACCCTAAACCCTAAACCCCAAGCCCCTAAACCGTTAAAGGTCCATACTGTTCATCACCCTCATCCAGACAAAAAAACTAAACCCTAAACCCTGAACCCTAAACTCTAAACCCTCGCTGAACCCTAAAACCCGTATCCGGAAGAGAAAAGGGCCGACTGCCTCGTAGCGCCCTGCATCCGCCGCGCGGAAGAGCGGGGTCCTCAGTGCCAATGCAAGGTTAGGGTTTACCCATTGGCCCCATAGTCATAGCAGTTCCTTTTTGTGGCTTATATTTAGGATTCTATTAGGGAATCCCCAAAAGGAATAACTATGTGGCCTATGGGTAGGGTTCAATGAGGGTTTAGGGTTTCTAGGGTTTCCCCAAGGCTCCAAGTATACAAATAGCATACAGTCTATACATAGTACCTACTTGGGGCTATTTGGAGCGTTCAGGGGTGTGCAGGGCCGGCAAGCATTCAGGGTTTCTGGCGTGGGTCTGTCAGGGTTTAGGGGTTTAGGTTTAGTTTTTTTTTTTTTTTTATGGAGTTGCTGTTAAGGAGCTTAGTGTAAGTTACGTAACCATACGCGAATAGGGTGGAGGACAGCTTCAGGGCTGTGACTTCGGAGGTTCAAGGTCCGAAGGCTCGCAGAGCTGCAGGTGTAATATAGGGGCCTTAATGCTTAGAACAAGGTTCTGGGGTCCTTCATAGTATAAATGTAAAGAGGAACCCCCCAAAATCATATATTATTATTCCGATGGTGCGAGGTCCGGTGCGAACGTACCACTAGCAATGAATTCAGAGAGTGAAACTGACGGAGAGCGCGGACGGCTCAAGCGACAACTGGCAGATCTTCCTGAACCAGTCGGCGAGCTGCCCAAGCGAGCTCTCACAGCCGTGAAACTTGACGGCACAGGGTCTACCCCGCCTCGCAAGCAACAGCGCAAAGGACAACCAAGCGAACAGGAGCCGCAACCAGAGGTCATACTTGCGGAGCTCACGCAGAGTGCAGGAAACAGGCTGCCATACACAGGTGAGGGGAAAAGGAGGTGCAGGGATAGAAATTGAAAGGCCGGCGAAATCCAAGCCAGCAGGGGGACCTGACCAGAAGCACACAGAGCAAACGTCTGGCCAAGGGAGTGGCAAAGAGTCCAAAGGGGCACCGCAGCCGGCCTTCGAATCCAACAGAAGAGGGAAAGGCTCCCAGAGGGGAACCAAGGGGAGAGGGCGAAGAAGCGGCTCAAATCCCTCAACCGGAGCGTCCTTGCACTTTCTAACCCTGGACGCTGAATCACATAGCAGATCCGCCCGCAAGCACAAGAGCACGTCAGATGCACTATCTCGCAGCTGACCTGGCGGCAGCTCCGCAATCCAAAATTCCAAGGTATTGCGCAAGACGTGAAGGGGCTCAACGGTGGCCTTGACCACCTCGAAGATGTCGACGTCCTCCCGGAAGGTCCCAACACGAAGGCTGCGTAGCAATGACACAGCCACGTCAGGCCCAGCCTCAGGCACGTGACAAAAGTCTCCACCACCAGCCGAGACACTTTGGATGTGTCCTGGCGTGGACTGGTCGACGGGAAACAAAGTCGGAAGATCCCATTCTACAGCCTGGCAACAACGCACGGACTGCTGCAGATGTCGCTGGTGTCGAACCAGTGTCGCAAAACGCACCCCGCAAGCCCTACAAGTGAGCCCGGCCGCAAAACGCCTCGCCCTAGACCGGTATCCGTGCGTACGCGCCGCGTGGGCGGACCAGGAATGGAAGTCGAAGAAAGCAACGGAGCACAGAAGGCAAGCGTGAGTGGCCACCTCAACATCAACAACAGGAGGGGGAACAGGGTCCCAGTGCTGTCTGCAGAATGCCTGGAAACGCGCCATGGCCCGTAGAGCACCCACATGCCAAGCAGTGGCGCGCTTCAACAGGCCCCGGAACCGACGAGGCAAGAGAAAGGCCTGATGCCATGCCTCCCACGAATCACCAAGTCCGCGCAAGGGGGAGGTCGCCTCGCATGCCTGCACAAACCAATCAGCCGCCGAGCGAAAGGCCGCCAAAGCACGAGGCGAGTGCTGCAGCAGAGCAAACGCCTCGCACGGACCAGTACGCACAAGCTGGGCAAGAAAGCGGAGGCGGTCCGCCGCGAGGAGACCTCGCAAATCAGGAAGACCGACTTCACCAAGGACCATTTCAGCAGACCACCTCTGGTCAGCATCATGCGGAATGCGCAGCATGGCTCGTAGCATGTTGAACAAACACGTGTTAAGCTGCTTCCAGCTAGACTGACACAGTTCTGGCCATGCCCCGCAGCCTGAGAACATTGCAGCAAGCACGTGCGAACGCAGAAGAAGGACACGCTTGGGCAACGCAATATGAGGCGTGCAAAAGACGGTCGCCCGACCCTCGCGAAAGAGTTGCCTGGCAATATGAACTCTGGCGCGTGCTTCATGGAGCATAGAGCCCCCAAACGTCAGCACAGAGCCAAGGTGCCTATACGTGGGCACCACGTCACGGTGCACGGTCGGGATTGTATCGCATAGGACGGGCAGCTTACCTTTCGCCTGCGTGAAAACCTGTGTGCGAGTGTTTCGCGCGCCCACGCCTATGGGAACCAACATGGCCGAGGTTTTCGTTGGCCCAACATTTGGCTTGAGGCCATGGCTCAAGAGCGCGTCGAAAGAACACCCCGCCACATGCCGCACCGCCTGCGGAAGGGCCGCTGCACACGAGGAGACAATGCAAGTTGCAAGGTCGTCCGCATAGACAATGTCTTGAACATCGATCTGCTGAGCGCCTGCCCTTCGTGCATCAAAGGCCACGGGCCGCCGCTCACCAGACCAGGGGACGATAGGCTTATATCCTTCAACGGCAAAGTCACCACGGCGCTTGAGAACCCTGGCAAAGAGCAAGCTGAACATGGTGTCAGCCCAGCTAGACCCAGGCCGGGTCCCTCGTCTGGTACGCACGAGAGCACTATCCTGATGAAGGAGGAACCAGGAGTCAGTGTGAAACTCCTTGGCAAGAGCATGAAGGAGGGCATCTCCCCCCTTCCCCGCAAGAACAGGCTCCTCGGCCGAGAAAAATTGGAGAGCCTGTAGATCCTCGGAGGTGAGCCCCAGCGAACCTGCAACAACCTCAATTGGTGCAGAGTGCAGATCACGCCCTATCAAGGTTTCCCGGACGATGGCATAATAAGCCGCCGCCAGATCACAAAAGAGGATGCCGGCAGAAAGGCCCTGGTGTCTTGCGAAGTCAAGGAAGAGCCTAGCGCAGTAAAACCCCATGCTATGGCTATACCCTGCCCTTCCGCCAAGCTGCAGGGGCATAGCACTGCGATTGAGCCCATCGACCGCAATGGGACGAAGAGCCTTGTGAAGAACTTTCTCCAGGGTACTCTGCACGAGAATACCTCGCTCGGCGGAGCAGACACCTTTGTCTTTCGCCCCAGGCTTAGGAATGTGAAACAAAACACCTCCCTTGTATCCAACTGGCTCAGATCCAAAGCACAAGGTCTTGAGCAGGACAGGCCAGAAAACAGTCGCGAGGGGTGTGGCAAAACCCCGGCAAAGAGCTGGGGGTATGCCATCGGGACCAGTAGCCTTGAGCGGACTAACATTGCGAAAAGCTTCCCTCAACTGGACCAAATCCGGGATGACTGCACAATCCAAGGATTCTTTGGCCAGAACACCAGCTTGACGACGAACACACTCAACTGCAAGCTGTTCAGGAGGAATCTGCTGACCACCTTCTAAGTCAGCGAAGTGACGACGCCATTCCTGCTGGATGGCATCGAAGGATTGGCAAACGGAACCATCTGGTCGCTTTAAAAGCGGCAGTGGCAGAGGACCGCCACGACGGAACTTCCTTGGCCGCAGAAGTCTCCTGAGCGCGGTCTGCGTCTCACCAGGAGCAGCAGAATCAACTGCATCAGCCAAGCCCTCCAAATAAGCTTTCTTATCCCGACGACAGAGACGCCTTAAATCCCTACCTGCATGAGCAATAGAACGACCGAGCAGGGAGATGACAGTCTGCAAGGCAGCCGTCCAGCGTCCACTAGCCAGAGTCCAGAAATCCATAGCAGGATTTCGCCAGGCAGCAAAGGCACATCGGAGGATACTGAGCTGAAGGGCGGCAACCCTGTTGCGCAGCGCGTGACGCAAACGCGCAACATGGGCATGCGTAGCTGCAGTCTCATCAGAGAAGAAGGAACCACGCATCCTCCGTCGCTTAATAGGAAAGGCCCGAGAAAGCTCCTGAAACAAAAATTCCGAGAGAAAAGCGGCGTGGTCATTGACATTGACAGACCAAGGAACACTGGGAACACGCCTGAGCACCTCTTTAACTGTTGGGGCATTCTTACTGTACTGAGCGGGGGGGCTTAAAGCAAGTTG